TAATGGCTGCGGAGTCTTCCCATACTATGCGCCAAAGTTTGCTGCATATGCCCTACCGTACATCGACATATCAGCACGCTGTACGCCAATTCCCAGCACACTACCTCACTTATGAAGAAAAAGAAATTCAGAAGTTGAGCTTAGACCTGTCTCCATAAAAGATGCGGATTTCACAGCAAGGAGAAGGCTTTAATACAGCCAGCACTCTGGTCACTTGAGTGACGAGACACCAGCTGGAGCCTTACGTGAAATCCCACTTGGATTGATTTACCCGCCCAGCCTACAGCTACTTATGGAATTCATTAATTCTGACCCAGAGAAGACTGATTGCCCAAGCAGGATTTCCGAAGCAATCAACATAGAATTCACCAGAAGACTACTAGGCACACGGGATCGTCAAGGTTTTCAAAATTAACTTTATTAGTGCTTATGTCGACGGTTTTTACAACTGCATACTGAGTTAACTGAAATTTCTGCAGCTAACACTTACTATACCTAGGACCATAATCCAGTATCTCATCTAAGAAGAAGGACTTCTTCCGTTCGATAGACACTTATCCAATGCTATGTTAGATGTAATCTTTGTTGAAATATGATCAAAAAACTGGTGTCTACAAAAGGGCAAGGTCAACAAACCCAACTTGTTTAGTGAAATGGGGTTATTTCCTACTAAGCACCTACAGACATATTTTAACTTAAATGCAGCACAAGCCGAATAAATGCGAACTAAGCGCCGTCGCTAATGTTTTCGCCTAAAATTATTATTTTCTTTCCATTGTGGAGTATATTTTAGGAACAACTTTCCAGCTTGCAGTAAAAAACAAGTTTACGATTTGATTTCTCTAATGACTCTGACTGACAGCACAATCAAAGTAGTAGCCCAAAGTCATGAAACATGCCAACAGCCCAACGATACCTTAAACGAAAAAAATGCAGGTTAGGATAGCATAGCCTTCGTGCTGGTAGCCTTAAAGTATAGGGGATGCTCAAACAGGTTTCTGAAGTTTCATATTCATTTCCGTCTCTTCAATGAAAAGCCTTCTGCATTAACATAGAAATCCACTTTTTCTGTATTAATTCGCGTTAATTAGTGAAGACGTCTATTGACTGCCTTTACGCGTCCTCGAGCACAATGATATTCTCGCGACAAGCACTCCTTTCACCATCTAGTAAATTAGCATCTTCCGATCCTTTTGGATCACAGTGTTTAGACATCTTTTCATAGAAAACCTATCAATCTCAAGAAGAACCCATTTATCTGTCTGTGAGGAGAATTCGCAGTTTAAAATGGGAAACGTTAAGAAAGCGGGCATTCAAAATTCCTCTTATGCACTAGAGTTAATTTTGGGAATCAATTCGATTAAGAAGACTTAAGAGACTGACGTGAGAAAACCTGTTGATGAACCTCGCGTTCACTTCCGGATCGGGACACTCCAGTTTCTTCATTATATCAAAGCATTGGTTCAGTTGGGTGAAAACGTCCACGACGGAGTTTGAGAAGAGCGCCTGCTCACTCGACCGATGAAACCCATCTTTTTTGTCCCGCTGGTAAGCATTGCGCAAGAAGTCCATCGAAATCTCGTCATTCTCGTTGAGCCATTGCATCACAAATGGTTCGAACCACCTACAGGCCAAGAACGTGTGGATTGCATAAATTAGAACTCATTGTAACCTTGCCTTCCAGAAACACTAAACAATTAGACTAAAACTTAATCAATTGTAAGCCATTTTATTTTGCGAAAATACATCAATTTCTATGAACATGTGTTTACAATATCTCTGTGTTATTTAACGGTACCGTAAAAGACTGGAATAATACGCATTAACAATCGTATTTTCGCAAATATTGCAAATATTAATTCCAGCAACTTTTCTCCTACTTATGCATGCATGCGTAGCACTCAGGTGCAATGACAGTTGAGGAAGCGAAGGTTGTTGTCAAAAGTGCATTATTTTGATCTGGTAACCCAACCCCTTGAAATATGAGACTGTGAAATCTAGGGACGAGATTTTAATATTTGGGCTGGAACATTGCTATTGGAACTTTTGAGAAGTAGAAGTCGCACTCCGCATACGCACCCTCGGTAAGTATTTTTAAAGCATTGGGAAAAAGCTTGCAACGCGGGCACATTTACTACAGCATGAAATATACTTTTTCATATTTTTACGATGAACCTTAATATTTGATAGGGCCTTTGACAGATTCCATAACTCAGTTGACCCAACTGTAGAAACCTCTGTTGCCTCGGTGGCAGTTGAACCCATGACAACAAATGTGATTAAATTCACGCCTTCCTGTGGAGCCTCGTCCCTCAGATAGTTAGGGCGTTGGCTGCACAAAAATCTTTTTTCTGCCGTGGGTTCGAATCCCACCGAAGTCACAAATTAATTTGTGATTGGGGCAATTAAATTTTTTTATTATGTTAGGTAAAAATGGCTAAATATCCTCAGAATACTTACGAAAGGAATATATATGTTGTTTCCATTCTCGTCCAACTCTTAACTGACTTTGTCCGATCGG